GGGCCCGAGCCTAGGCTCGATCCCTACGAGCCACGAGCCGGGCGGGCTCGGGCTTTTTCCGAGCCGAGCCCCGAGCCGCCCGAGCCGCCGAGCCTTTTTGACACCCCTACTCACGAGCCATGCATGACCTAAGACCTGAAAATTTGTACCGCCACGAGACCTGAAATTTCCAAATCAATGGCGGCAATTAAAATATTTCCAAAACAGCATAATTCTTCCATTTTAACCTACTCCCGCCAATAACCTGACTTAGATTCCCGAGCACTCTTCTTCATTTTCAATTCCCAATCTTATATAAACCCTAGTTCTTTTTCCCTCCCACTTCCTGTTTCATTTTTCTCCCCAATTTGGAACCCTAACCCCTAATTTCCTCCGCTAAATCAGAACCCAACATGTTAGAACTGAGGCTAGTACAAGGAAGCCTGTTGAAGAAGGTTCTGGAATCCATAAAGGACCTTGTCAACGATGCGAATTTTGATTGCTCGGCGACTGGTTTTTCCCTGCAGGCGATGGACAGTAGTCACGTGGCGCTGGTGGCGCTGCTACTACGATCCGAGGGCTTCGAGCATTACCGATGTGACAGGAACCTTTCCATGGGGATAAATCTTGGCAATATGGCGAAGATGCTCAAGTGTGCCGGAAATGATGACATCATAACCATTAAGGCTGATGACGGCAGTGATACTGTCACTTTCATGTTTGAAAGCCCCAGTATGTGTTACATTTAACTTGAGTTTTTAATTTTTTTTCCTCAATCGTGTTCTTCTGGTTTCGTAATTCTTTGTTTGTTATTTTGTTGAAGATTGGAGTATTGCTTTAGAATTGATTTATATGATACGAATAATTTTGTAATGTCGAGGACAGATCAATTACTAATTTGGTTAATTGAAGAAAATTATGGCATAAATGCGAATTTTAGCATGTAATTCAGGTGCTTTTCTTACCTGTTTTGAATTTTCTAAGTTTTCAACTTTTAACAATGATTTTTTTTTTTTGCTCTAGTTCTTTTCTTGTTTTTTTCTTTTTGGTCTCAATTATGGTTTTGAATATACGAATTGTTTTTGCCAATTATGGTTTCTGATTATGAATCTAATTGATGAGAGGTCCTTGTTTTGTTCTTGGTTCGGGATCATGTTTTTAATTTTCTTTTGACATTCTGATTTTTAATATGTTGACTGATTTTTGGTATTGCAATTTTTGGATTACAGCGCAAGATAAGATTTCAGATTTTGAGATGAAGCTTATGGACATAGACAGTGAGCATCTTGGAATTCCCGAGGCTGAGTACCATGCTATAGTTAGGATGCCTTCGTCTGAGTTTGCGAGAATTTGTAAAGATCTGAGCAGTATTGGTGACACAGGTGATCATCAGTGATATTTACTGATGCACTAGTTGGTTATAAAATCCCCTCCATCCCCCTGAATTTTTCTCGGTTAATACAATACAGAAAATATTTAAGGCAGTCACGAGTTAGCCTCATGCACTACAATTTATATACATTGGTGATATACAAGGGCTAATCTATGATACTAATAGCACAATGTTATGATGTGCCTTCTGGATGTTGTTGACCTTTGGATTGATTGTTGATTACAGTGTTGATATCTGTGACAAAGGAAGGTGTAAAATTCTCAACAAGAGGTGACATTGGGACTGCAAACGTTGTTTGTCGTCAAAATACAACAGTGGACAAGGTATAGTAGTTTTAGGTCTCGGATATTGTGAAATTATTGTAATTCCCTTGTTAATGGCATGATGGTGAATGGTTTATTTTCTAATACACAGCCGGAGGATGCAACAATCATAGAGATGAACGAGCCTGTATCACTGACATTTGCTCTAAGGTACTTGAACTCTTTCACCAAGGCAACTCCATTATCGAACATGGTTACTATCAGCTTGTCTTCAGAACTTCCAGTTGTAGTTGAGTACAAGATTGCAGAAATGGGTTATATCAGGTTCTACTTGGCACCCAAGATAGAAGAGGATGATGAAGACACTAAGCCTTGAGTTAATATTTAGGGGTTTTTAATCTCAACACTAGTTCTGTACAAGTCTTGCGTTTTGTATCATTGTTTTTTCTTCTCCTGGTTATGGCTTTTCCTCTTTGAATGCTGACCCTTTGTCCCCATCTCTCTTATTTTTATTAACAAGAATGAGCAAGGAACTAAGAATACTACAATTAGATTCCAATTACTTTTGTTTTTTGACGAATGGATATTGATGAAAAGTTAATGAGACGTGTAGTTGAAGGTTTGTTGGTTTTATGAAATGTAGTTACCATTTGAGAAGTTCATGAAATTTGTGCAGCCTGTGCTCATATCTCCCTAGCAAATGCTCCATAAGATGATCAAAATGAGCTTCATAACAATATACCTTCGAATGTATTTATTACATACGAATATTTTATTCTCAAGCCACAACTAAAGAACTTGAACCTGTAAAATGATTGATTGACATCAGAGGACTCTTTGTAGAACCAAAATTCCTTATTCTATATGCACCCGAAGCAGCTCTTTCTGGTATTCTCCATTCTATGGTTGCATGACTTTGAGGAAGAAGTTTAGCAAGTCGACCAAATGAGTCGGAGGCAGAAATCATCATTATCATAAGCAGGAATCCATGAATTCTTTCCCCGAAGAATCTACACGAGAGCAAATGTACCATCGGTCATCAAGTCGTTTCTTGGGTTTGTTGATCAGAAAATGCCTGTCACATATCACCTATCTCAAAGGCAGGGGTGGATTTGGGCTTGGAATGGACTGGGCTACAGCTCGTGCTAGCTCTAGACTAGATCCAAGTAAAAGACTGGATACATTTTCCTTTTTATTTTGGCCCATGTACATAGTTCCAACCAGCTCGTACTCAAATCCAAAAGAAAAAAGGGAAAATTTCATAAGTAAGAGTTTAAGTATCACACATTTCAAAATTAAGAAAACAAGTTTCGAACTTACAAATCAAAAAATTAATTAGCCACGGATTAATTTTTAGTCATAACTTATCTAATTATGGTCACAATTTTTTTTTATCACAAATCAAAAATTTTATAGATTACATATTATTTTTCGATTACAAATCATAAAATTTATGGGTCACAAAATTTTTATTGGTCACAACTCATTCATTTATTGCGAATTATTAGATTATTTGGTCACGATTAATTTTTTTTGTCACAACTTAATCACTTGTGAGTTACAGATTAACCAATTTAATGATCAAAATTAACCAGATCATTTGTGACAACCACCAACACTTGTGACCACCACCTCGCCATTGTCACTAGCCGCACTGCCACCAAAACCACCACTGCCATAACCACCCCACCAAAACTGGAAGCACTGGCCGCCAAATACATCTCCACCAACTCTAGGTCTACCATTAGCAGTGTCCGATCCACCACCACCACTGTCATTAAACCTATCCCAACATTACAATACCATGGAAAAAACCACCACCAACAAACAAAAATCAACCAAAACCATTGCGGATCCAAAACCATGGCGAATCCATAACCACAAAAATCACTGGTACTGTCATCCACCACCAATGCCAATGCAAATGCCACCGCCACCCAAACCACCTCCACAAAACCAACATAAAACCGCCACAAGAACAACATAAAAACCTAAATCCATCACAAAACCACCAACCCATCACCCTTTAGAGATTGCCACGCACCGGCGATCAGAGCAACGACACTCTGAGCTTGTTGCTACACAAAGCGGAGGAGAAAGGCGATGGGTTCGTCTTCACAGTAGCTGCTCAACTCAATGGATTTGCCACCGCGTCGCCACCCACAAGTGAGGAAGAAAATGGGTAGAAGGCCTATGCTTGGTAGTGGACGAGTCGCCGAAGAACGAGAGACGGGAAAAAGCAGATGTAGAGAGAGACAATATAAAGGAAAGTGATTAGGTTTAGATTGAAATTGAGTTAGGGTTTGGAATGAAAAAGGTATATTAATTAATTACTAAAATATCTGATTTTTTAACGATGAAACATCCAATCTGATTTTAGAATTATGAATATTAAAACTAGGCTCTGGTGTAATTTTCGCAAGAAAAAAAAGGCTTAAACCCAATTGACAATCTTAAGCATCCAAGCCCAATTACCATGTATCTCTCAAATACCCAAACCAATACAAAACATCCCCAATTTACCTCTCATGCGTCTCTTAACTTCCTTAATTTCTATGCGTCTCTAATTTTGTTGATTTCCATTATGTCTCTTTCCATCTCTAAGCAACACTTTCTGGCCCTCCTCGGATTGGACATGGTATTCTCAAAGTTAAGGTTCTTCTTCTTCTTTTCTATGTCCCTCTCCATTATTCTACATCCTTTTTATTTTTTTATTATCATTTTATGTAGCCGAATATATTATCTATATAATTATGTATTAGTCAGTAAATTAACAATGTCCAAAAGTCTATTAGTTGGGTAATTTAGGCTAATTAGCAAAAAAAAATGTCCCCATCATTTGCATTCATTGCTAAAATAGTCCCTATCGTTTCAAATTTGGCATTTGTACCCTCATTTCAAACCTTTCTTGTGAATGTGGTCCTTTCCGTTAATTTCACCGTTAAATAAATGCATAAAATTCACTCACATTATTTGAAAAGGGTAAATTAGTCAAGTCACTATAATTTTTTTGGGGGGAAAGTTCTTGTAGTTTGCATAGAGTTTACACTGTGGCCAACAAAACTCCCCAAATCGATTAAACTACACCAAACCTCACTTTTCCAAAATCTTCCAAAGAAAAGAAGTAGCCCTTTGAACCCATTACACTACCACCTTCCCTCTACCAGACACCGGCAATTGCAATGTCGATGCCGGTAAGTTTTATTTCCTTTCCAATGAATCAATAAACTACTGCCTACATTCGTTATATTGTTCTTTCTTTGTTTTGATTGATACTCATCAGTATATGAAGGGATGATGAGTGTTATAGTGTCTATTGATAAGAATAGAGAGATTTCTTGAAATTCATGAGTCACGACACCTACTATATTTGTTATAGTTATTTCTCTGCCATCCCGACAACTACTATATTTGTTTCACATTCACGAGTCCTTGAAATTCTAGGATATTGTAATGGTAAAATGGATGTTAAGATAGTGTCAAGAATGCGACAGAAATGATCTGTGAAGATGGGTGTGTTGCTGGTCTAGATATGACATGGATGGATCATTAATTATTTTCCATTTAGCTTAACATATTTTCATAGTTGAATTGCAATAGTTATTGAAATTTTATAAACATTTATTTTACATTCTTATTTTATAAACAGATTTATAAATAGATTTGTATAAACAGATTTGTATGTTTATTTACATACTTTTAAATTGAGTGAGTATGAAATGTTTATTCACCAGTTTAGTGAAATCTAGCATACTAATATTGTCTTTGTTCTTTGTGCTAGAATTTTTAGTGTGATGCTTCAGATCAACCTCCAAATGAACATGCTGACGTTGATAGTTGTGGGAGGTCTGATCCAATCAAAGAAGGATGTTGTGTGCCTGATATTGAATGCAGAGATAAGCTAAACCAAGAATATGATTAGGATGATAGTTTTTCTTATGCAAATCAAGATATAATTTGGTCACAAGTGGAGGAAACCATGACATATCATGTTGGATGAAATGTAACTACTTCTGATGTCAATAATACAACTGAATCACATGATGGTGTAAATGAAGTACAAAACGAAGAGCAGCAAGGAGTAGAACTGGATAATGTACTTGTCGATTCTAACTATGAAACAGATGAAGACCTCGTTGACAATGCTGGAGTTGATCATCCAAAAATGAATGTGGATTTTGGTTTTATAAACGAGCAGGAGGTAAGGGATTCAGACACAGACTATAGCGACTCAAATGAACCAAACATTGTGTGGGAAATTTATCTAGGTGAATTTTTAAGAACATTTCCAAGATATTCTTTTTTAGTCTCATTCTCTCTATTCTAGAGAGTCGATTTTTATTTTGTTGTGTCCAACAAACTCTACATGAAAAATGTACTATGTTGTTTAAAATTTTTTCATGTATTTGTTTAAAGGGAAACCAATCAAACAAAGTGTAAATGTTGATCAAAATTTTCTTATGGAAAAGAGCAAAATAAAGATTAAAGTGTTGTTGGACTTGTACAAAATGTCCTGCTCTTTATTTTAACATTCCTAGAGATGTTCTTTAAATGAGGAAATATGCTCTTTAAAATAAAGAGTTTTGTTGAAGATGCTCTAATACTTCTTAGCAAGATAATAAACAAGAGGAATACATATTCAGGTCTCCAAAATGTAATACATTTTTCATTTTTCTTTTTGGGTTCCATTCCCATAGTTTTTAACAATTGACACTAGCTCTAGGTATTATAGGAAACCCTCCAGTCCTCACGACATTTATAATATCCTGCAGTGACGAATCCAACATTGGATTTTAGTTAGGGTGACGTTGAACGTTGACCATTGACTGATGATAGTCAAAGTCCATAATAACGAGGTCATGGACTCGACTAGAGGCAGTGGGGGGATTAGGTGCACAACTAAAACTAGAAGAACTAGGTAGGGACTTTTGTTTTGGTTGAAAAAATTGTTCCATAATCTGCAAAATGACCCAATTTATGGTTCAATTAAAATTAGTTAAAAAACAAAGAACACATTACACCTTGAAAAACAAAGCCTCAATAATCATTTTTCAACTAAAATTAAATAAACAAGCATCAATATATTAACAAAATAAATTAAAATTGGTTCCAACTTATCAATCAAAAATTTTCAAATTACTTATAATCTGCAAAATTCTCCAATAATCATTTAGGTAGGAATTTTTTCTTGAATTATTTATCACAAATCATATTTATAACTCTTAAAACATAAATCATAACTCATAAATGATAAATTAAAAAATGAATCAAAAGAACAAAAATGAGAGAGAGAGAGAGAGAGAGAGAGAGAGAGAGAGATCAGAGAGGCCGACTGATAAATATATTTTATACACTTATTTGGGAGTTTAAATAATGATATTTATAGTTTTTTTTGATGAAATATAGTCTAATTCATATTATATTGTGTCTAATAGGTAAAACTTATGATTTGATGAAGAACTGGAGAAAACAAGTGAAAAATAGAGAAAATGGCGTTATAAAAACTATGGGACTAAAATGTAATAATTCAAAAGTTGTGCAGATTGCGAGATGGTGATTCATGAATGCCAAGAGTCAATTAGGATTGAAGAGAAGCAAACAAGATGAGAAATTATTGAAAAG